TTTTTTTTTTTGGTTGGAGTACTGTTTTCTGTTACTTCGTTATTTTTATTAACTTGCTCACTGTCAGAGTGAACTTCTAGGTTGTTGAGAAAAGCCAAAGTGCTGCTTAGACACATAGTAAGTAAAAGAGAGTGATTCCTATTGGATCGCTTATTAACATCCTCTCGTGAGTAAATCGAGATCATTTAGCCTGAATTCTGTAAGTTCACAGGTATTTTGCAATTGTTACCTCTCATCAAAAGAGTGAAAAATGATCATTTTTTTTTAGATTTTATCGAATGTTTTTTCTATTTACTAAAATCAGTTTTTTTCTAGCAATAAGTTGAAAGTACTATTTTCCGCATTTCTGTTGCATCTAGTTTACTACCTTTTATGGTTTCTCAAGAATTTGGTCTTCCAGTTTTGAGATGCTAGGTCTGTAAGATAGAACTTGATCAAAACTTCTTCCAAAAAAGCTGTAGGTGAAAATGAGTCAATAAAGTAACTGCACAAGATGTAAAACAAATTCTGTATATTGAACTAGTGACTTCGCGAAAGTGAGCAAATAACTGAAAAATGATTCTGTTGTAGTATTTAAAAATGAAAGTCGATCTTTTCTACGCGCTTGAAATGCGAGTAACCAAGAAACTAAATATACTTGATAATTTTCAATACAAGTTGAAATAATTACGGGTTCAAAAACTATACATATACACATTTCAATAGACCTGTAACATACAGCTCTTTAGTAAAATTTAAAATTCTTTTAGGTGTTTAAGTGCAATAACCGTAATCACAAATAAGCGACAAGTATAAATATAATCTACAGGATCACACCTAATTTAGCTTTTTTTTTTTTTTTGGATATATTCAGCATACGAAAAACAAGAAAATACTTTCATGTGGTGTTGACAGCACTCAGCTGATTTCTTCTTTCTTTATCGTAGCTTTGGTAGTCTTATCTGTTCGGTGTGAAATATTTCCAGCAATATGGTATAATATCACTGTGTTAGCTCATACTTTGTTGTTGCTCAAAAAATACTAGTTTACTTATTTCACTGGTAACTTTTACTTTACACAGAGTCACATAAAACAACATTCACCTTAATTCAACTTTTACACCTGTTGTTTTCCAACATTTTGTCGTACCGTATTTCGCTTAAACTGATTAGAAAAGGCAGCAGACATCGGTTCCAACTAATAACTATGGGTAAAATAGTTTAAAGCTCTAATATCAAATGTAAGTGATAATAATGAATGAATGGTTTTTGTAAGACTTGAACAAAAACTTGCGACATTCTGCGTTGAGTCGTTAGTCACTTTCCTCATTTTCTTTATCACTTCTTACTGCTGTTAACGATATTATTAGAACGATTAGAAAGTGTGTCTTTTGAAATACATTATTCCTTTGTTTGACAAAGTAGACTTTCTTCTCTCATCTTGCTTAGTAGTCTGTAAGATGGTTAAGAGAACAAAGAAATAATGATTAAGTTGTTACGGCATCTTTCATGCATTAACATTCATCAGTTGCTTTAAATAATGTAAAAAGACTGTGATTTTAATTTCGGATGAGAATCGTTTAAGCAGGTTTTCTAATGTTCAAATTTCTAATTATTTTACAAAAGCTAACTTTTAAGCTTTCCTTAATTGCTATTTATGCTAGTTAATTACATCCATATTTCTCTCGCATTTCTATTCGCTTCGCTTATTTTAATTTACACCGTATCATTAGGAGCTTATATAATAAGATATCTGTACCGAGCATTTTTGCTATCAGCGACTCTTTAGAAATGTTGCAGTGTGCCTTCTGAATTTCAATATTAAGTGGCTTTTTTTCGTCTAGTTTTAAACTACGACTATGACGAAAAAAGAAAGGGCCTTCTAAATGTCTTTAGCCTTCTATTTCTTCACAGCTGCAGTGGTGCTTGTTATTGGTTTTCAGACGTATAAAGTCAACTAATTATTAACGGTTTATGGTCAGGGTTCTCTAATTTATACCCATACAGTAGTTTATTGGCACAGGTGGTGGTGATTTAATTGCACCTCATACTGTACTTGTCGCTGTTTCAATTTTGATTAGTAAATTCAATTTTTATTTATATAAATAAAATTTAACAAGATTTTTGCTTGTAATATAGTTTTCAAACTCTTATTCAAATCTTCCTCAACTGTTGTGTCCATTTCTGAACATTTCTAGTTGTTCATTTAATTTTATCATTTACGGCTTACTTTGTCAGATTTATGGTTGTAAGTCTTTATCATCAGCTATCAAGTCGGTTTGTTTACATAGAATTAAACGATAGCCTGTACTGGAATTGTTTCTGTGCTGTTTGGCGATGTCTGTTCTCCGCGGTTGTCTAGTCCAATATTAAGTTAGACACGAGTACAAGATAACAGAAATCATTATGAAAATATGTGTAAATTGGTCAAGTGACCGGGTCGAAACTGCTGCGCCTCAAGGATACCCATCTATTTAAAAAGAAATGACAGTCCAGAGGCTTCTAGTTTATTTGACAAAACAACTTTTTTGGTGAATCCTTCAATATGTTTTTTTTCCCCACTTTCTCATTTTGATTTCGTAGTGCCTTCACATTGCTTAGTTCCTCTACCGCATGTACTGCTTTATTCTTTGTTCTCTTTCTTTTCAATGTCCGCGTGAGCGAAATTTCTCCCTACTAGTTACTCTGGATAGTCTTCTGCAGTGAGTTAGAAGCATTTTTATCAAGTTGATCATAGTGCCGTGAGCCTACACCGTTGTTTGGGACGGCTTACGGTACCACTTTAATTCACCTTGGCGTAGAAGTTGAATCGACGAAGGCTCAACAATTCAAATTTAAGAGTGGGCAAGAGGACTCCGTCTCAGGGTTTTTTCAAGAGTTTTATATAAGAAAATTCTTCTGAGTAATGTTTTCCTGGTGCTTCATATATTCGTTGTTATTTCATCGTCTTTTATTACTTATGGAGTGTGCCTGCTAGTCTAAACTGCTCATGAATGGCCTCGGGTGTACATGGATCACGTCTTGCGAAAAGATTCAGTCACTTACGACTTTGGTGAATGATTTTGTTCTGTACCCATCTTTTTTATTCCTTTATATATCTTCTCATTACCTTTTTTTGTTTGCCTGATTTTATTTGGCCTACTTGAGGTATCGTTCACCACAAAGTGAAAAAAAAAAAAGAAGACAACAAGTGTATTAGAAAGCATTTGTAATTAATGAAATGCTTGTAAATTGTGTATTATTCAGAAACGATAATCCACCATTAACAGAAGAGAATAAATTGACTACATAAAAGATTGACATAAAAGATTAACTTCCCACACTTTTTTTTTTTTCGTTCGACGCTTCATTACCTAACCGTTATTTGCGCTGGTGACAAATAGATTTATGGTAACACGGAGAAAATTTTCTGCAGTCGAAACATTCACATACAAATAGAAATCGAATTTTTGAAGAAAATGACAAAAAAAATTTTTGGATGCAAAACAAAGGAATACATGTCACGCAAATTTCAGAAAACACTAAGTAATTTAGATTGATACATTTGGTGACCTACCGGAAGGAAGGACTGCAGGCAGAGTCAAGTGTCCGGTGTTTCTGAACAGTGGTGGCATCTTGCCATTTGTAGTTTTTTTGGTGATGTGAAGCAAAGTGAAAAAGTATATATACTTTCCCATATAGCAGCTACAAGTTCTGGCAGTTTGCCATCGTTATGGTCACTCTCAGCTATGTGGTCACCGACCGTGATTTCACATATTATGTGTCATACCTGTAACTAGCTGACGAATGGTCCGCCGGAACTGGCGCTTTATTGCTAGTGGTGTGATTCAGTTTACTTCAAATCGTATTGTTAGGGGCTTTTTTTCGTAGCGGCCTCTTACACGGCCTCTAACTGAACACGGCCAATTTCTTACAAAATATTTTTGTTTGAAAGATGTAGATTTTCTTGATTTACTGTACCAGCAGTCCATTACCAGTTTCAGTTCAGTCGCATAGTTTTTCTGGAAGAACAAGTTAATTTCATAAAATCACTCATTAGGATAGGTTGTTTCCCAACTTTAGTGACCTTTTCCAATTTTAAGAGGTTTGCAGCCTTCCAACATAGTCTCTTTTTTGATTCTTTTATGGTCAGTAGTTAACTGCAGAAGTAGTTTCGTGAAATCTAACTTCATATAGCAACGCCGGGCTAGGAAAGCGTCGTGTTAACTTTTGGAGATTATGAGGTCACTGTTCTGTACCATTCTTTGAAATTTTTTACGAGATGGGAATAAAAAAATTCGTTTCCCTTTGTGTGCTTTGATGACTCGAAGAACAATTTTAAAGTTCTTTTGTTTTAGAATGAAAAGGAGGGAAGGAAACGGATGAAAAAACGGCTGGGCAAAATAAAGATTGGGAAGACCGAAAGGGAATATGAAAAATGTCGTCGCAAAACTTATTTAGTTATTAGATTTCAAGTTTCAAATCTCGATAACCTTCTTTTTGCTATTATTAATATAAGTGGATATTGTGAAGGCTATTTGTTTAATTGTGATGGAAAAGTAGAAATATTTTAATGAAAGTTGCATATTAGTGTT